GTGGAATAGCTGATGGTTTCGAAGTGCTGACCTTAAGGTTAGCAGCCCGACTCATAACCAGTACGCTACCGTGTGAGTTAATTAAATGTTTGATCAAATGTAACAGACTAAATTTTAATTTGATAATTTTGTATGGCCTACAAATGAAGTTACAAATCTTAAGCAGAATAAGGGTTCCCAACCCTTGGTTTAAGTGATCAAAAGCAGACAAACTCCTTCAGTGCAGATGACCATGTGAGTATCAAGGCCAAGGAAGAATCTACAAGCCCAGGACCAAGTCTCCCAGTCTCAAAAACAGCTGGATTAAACATATGTCCAAGATGCCAAATTGCTTCATCTTTTCTATGCAGGTGGTACAATGACAAAGCCAGTTTTACTGCGTGAATTTATCCCCTGAAGTCCTGGTGTGACGCTGTAGGATAAGCACTGAACTTCTAACCACAAGGTCAGAGGTTCAAACCCACCAGCCGTTTCTCAGAAACCCTATACAGGATGGCTATGAGTTGGAACCGACTTGACAACACTTAACAGCAACAAATCCTCACAACTACCAAGATCTATGTTATCATCTGACAGTTACATTTCCACTCATCTGTTCCTGCAGTACTTCAATGGGTCAGAACACTGGGAGGCTAGATTTGCATAGTTTGACTTACAATATGGCTGTGTGAGGTACAAAAATGTCATTGGAAATAGGAGTAGGAGGATTATTCAAAGAAATAGGCATGTGCCCTTCATGGTAGCTGAACCGAGGCATAGTCCAAGGCTCGTGTGACTGCTGATAAGAGTTCTGCCATATCAAGTCTAGATACTGTGGACAGAGCAGACTGAGGTTTCAAGTACATGCCCCAAGGGCACCTACTGGGGCCCCTGGGAACAGGTTTGCTTCTCAAATGGGCAACTCTGCACCCGGGTTAGCAACAGCTGCCACGTATTTCATGATGGGAGTAATTTTCCCAAGTGGAAATGGGGAGACTAGCCCTCCAGAAGAAGCCACCACTTGTGCCCAAAGCTTCAGCACATAGTATCTCTACCATCATCCTGCTGATGTTTCCACTGCGGAGGTGAGAAAGCGACAACTTGGAGAGGTAGTTGTTTCACTATGGTCATGAGGTCAGTAAATGGTGAAGCTAAAATTCAAATCTAAGACAGACAAGGCCCAGCTTCTCCTGCTATGTTGTTGTTGTCAAGTGCCATTGAGTCGGTTCTGACCCACAGCGACCCTGTATAGGGTTTCCAAGGAGCAGGTGGTGAGCTTGAACCGCCAACCTTGCAGTTCAAACAGCTTTGCAGTCTGGCGCATTAACCCACAGCGCCACACCAGGACTCTAGAAAAAGCCCTTAGAACCAGTGTTCCCAGGTCCTTGCCACTGATTATATTCTGAGGTCAGACATGGGGTAAAGACAAAACCTACAGTGTGCCTGTGTCCAGTTACAGATGCTAGGGTCACACAGGCTGGTGGGTCCTAGCACCACAAGGCACCAGGTGGCCTGAGGTGAGTGTTCCAACACTTGACAAGCTATGGAGGCCCCTGGAATCAAATCAGGAGACAGACCAAGCAGGAATGAACATAGGGTCAAACCCAGGGCCACCTATTTGAGCCATCTGCCCCACTACGAGGGAGCCACCTTTCCACCCTGTCCTTCCCCATGGTCACCCTTGTGCTTAAGAGCTGGCCCTCCTGCATAAAGGACCCCTAAGAACAGCAATGAGACCACTGCCTGCAGCGTGGTGCCAGCCTCTTAGCCAGCCCAAGGAAAAGCATCTTAAACTCTTTAGTGCCATTCAACCATGGCAGGCTGCCATTGTAGGCAATCCTACCTGCCAGGTATTGTTCCTATTTACCTCTCCTAATATTTAGAGTCTGGCTGTCTCTCTGTGATCCGTGCGGAGGCTGGACAGATCCATCTTGGGCACGATCACCGTCAGTTTTGCAAAGCCAAGATTCAACTCTGAGAAACAAGGCGGGTTTGTTTCTTGCAGAACACGCAAATGTCACGTGCAGTCTGCTTGCCTTTAAATCACATTGGATTCACAAATTCACAAGCAGCTCAGTCTGACATTTAGTATGGAAGAGAGTTAAAAAAATTAATTTGGTCACGTCTTTTCTTATTGGTGAGTGGAAAAAATCCCAAAACACTGTCGTTGGGTTAGATTCTGATTCATGGCAACCCCATATGGCACAGTAGGACTGCTTCGCAAGGTTTCTGAGGCTGTAAATCTTTACAGACCCTGGTGTGGCACTGTGGTTAATGCGCTAGACCGGAAGGTTTGGTTCAAACTTGTGTATTTACAAGGTCGCTATGAGTTGGGACTGACTTGATGACACTTAACAACAACAACAACAAATCTTTACAGAAGCCACATTTTTCTCCTGAAGAACAGTTGGTTAAGTTCCAACCACCGACCTTCTGGTTAGCAGCCCATTGCTTAACCACCAAGCTGTGATGCTGTAGGATCAGCACTGGACTGGACTGTGAACCACAATATTGGCAGTTCAAACCTACCAGCTGCTCCTCAGAAACCCTACAGACGGTCCCCGGGAGTCAGAACCAATTTTAGCACTTAACAACAACGATCAGGTTCTTATACAGCATGGGGTTTTTCATTATAAGCAAGTGTGTATACATGTGTAGCCAGATATCAAGTCAGGAAAAATAATTTGTCACTTTTCAACATTGGTACTTACAAATGTTTATTTGTAAGTTTATTTCCTCTCATATTTATTTATTCATGAACCATCAAAAGAGCACCAATTACTTTTCATCAGTCCAATCTGAGCACAGATACTACAAACGCCTCTATAGGTTTTCACCATGAAAACCTCAGCTCTGAGAATACACCTGAAAACTTTCCAGTCTACCCAATTTTTGTTTCTCTGGCAAAATTCTAAGACTTTAAAGCCAAACGGAGAATTTTATTTTAATTTCATCAAAATAAAGGCAATGTTGGAATGTATTTCCAACCTTCCACATTCCCCTCATACTCAAGTGACTTTATTTTCACAAACTTTCTGTCTTAATAAATGTCTTAGCACACCCAAGCCTGAAAGTTACAAATAAACGTAATTTAAATCTTAATTTACTACTATTCTGCACTTCCCTTCCATTCATTGTTAATTTCAATTCTTTCAACAGTCAACAACTTCCTCTGAAAAATTCCAAGACAACTCCTACTCCCTTAGTTAATAGCATGCAAATTTCAGTTTTAGAATCATGACTCCTTTTGACTCTGCCTTTCATCTTCAAAGTTTATTGTTGTTGTTGTTGTTGTTAAGTAAAGTTTATTGGAAAGCCCAAAATAGCCATGGTGCAAATTTTCAGGGCACCCAAGAGATGTCAAGGAGCTCTGGTAGCAAGGAGCTCTGGTAGAATCGGGCTGCTAACCTCAGGGTCAGCAGTTCGAAACTACCAGCAGTTCCACGGGAGAAAGATGAGGCTTTCTGCTCCTGTAAAGATTTACAGCCTTGGAAACCCTATACAAGGTCGCTAGGAGTCAGAACTGACTCCAAGACATACATAACAACAAAGAGATGTCAGTTAAACACAGTCCAAGAAAAAAGACCAAAGTTTCTGAACAGCACAAACCCCTCTGCCCTTTTTCTTGTACAGGGCCTGTGTTTCATCCATACAGTAGCTGCCCCTTTACTGATGTGTGAGCACAACTTCTAGATTAGAGGCCTACACATACTCCTATGTAGGGAAGCTTGTGTAGCTCAGCTGCACTTTCTATAGCTTACTTTTACAGTGCTGACCATCAAACACATTAAGAAGTGTGCAATGCACACCTGGTAAACAACTCAAGGGCTTGCCTAGGGATTTGTTTTCCCCTCTTCTAACCTCGGGACTCCTGGTGTGGTGTGGTAGGATCAGCACTGGACTGCAAACCACAAAGTTGGCAGTTCAAACCCATCAGCAGCTCCATACGGAGTGGCTAAGAGTCGAAATCAACTCGATGGCATTTAACAACAGACCGCTGGCATCCGTGTCCTCTACTCACTCACAACAACCTTGTGGACGGTGTATTATTATCCCCGTTTCACACAGGCGCTAACTGAGGCTGCATGAGGTTAAGTCTCTCAACCCACACAGCTACTACGTGGCAGAGCTAGTTTAGAATCCTCGCTTGTCTAGTTTAAAAGGCTTTAGTCTTCCAACTTGGGGCTGTCTATGACCAGTGGCCGCCGCCCACTTTTGGCGAAGTCTCTGCTATGATGCTGCCAAGATGGGGCGGGTCCCGACCCAGGGTCTTTAAAGACCCTTCTGGTCTCTACGAGTTTTCCACACTCGCCCCAGGGAGTGCCCTTCTTTCTCACATCACACCATCTTCGGCTCCTGGGCGCCCTCCCCCACTCGGGCTGCTTTTATCTTTTCAGCCCCTGGTGCCCGCGCCCACCTCGTCCCCGAAGTGCACGATCTTCTGCCCGGTGGGCCCGCGCGGCCCGTGGAAGTTGTCGGGCACGGGGTCTTGGGCGGCAGCACGGTGCGCGGCGTAGCGAGCCTGGACGTGCGGGCCCACCAAGTGCTGGTCCATAATCTCGTCCTGCTGCGCCGGGGGCAGCCGCTCCCACTCGGGCCCGTACTTCTCACGGATCTTCTCCTTGTCCTGCATGATCTTCCTGGCCATTGGGCTCAGCGACGAGAAGTAGGTAAAGCGCTTCCGCTCCTTGTCGTCCAGAGGCCGGTTCCCGTTCATGACTGCCGAACGCGAGGCCGCGATCGCCGCCGCCATGGAGGCCATGGCCCGGACCCTGCCTCCCCCGCGGCCGCGCTAGCCACGCGCGCCCCGCCCAGCGCCCCAGACCGCGAGCGACAGGGAGGCGGGGAGCTCGGGCACCTCCCACGGCCCAGCCCCTCGGCGTCCCCTCGCCCGACCCCG